GAAATTTTAAAACTATGTCCTTAATTCACTCTTCAAATGAATGAATTCAGAGCTTTGAAATGTTGGCATTTATAGAGAACCTGGAAGAATGTAATCTAACTGGAACTTTGTTCTGCTTTGTCACTGAACTTTTGTTGGAAATCTTCCTGACACACATTCTTTAGTAAATGACTTACATTCTCATTTTAGAAATTAAATTCTGGAAAATACTCTTTGCTTTACTTATGCTAATAGTCCCATTGGCTATGTGACTAGAGAAAACAGTTTCACCTTGTGTTGTACTTCCAGAAGTATATCCTTCTTAATTTATTGTTTTAATATTTTCACTCCACATGTAGTAAGTAGGGGTGTGCGAAATGGGCCATATTTAATTTGAATTCAGACTGAATCAGGGACAGTTACTCGATTTGTTGATTCAGATCACTGTCCCCAATTCAATTCGACCAAATCCGAATCTGTAGATTCGATGCTGATTCAGAGAATCAGCAATTCGGCCATAGACATAGCTTTAAATGTTTTTCCTACATACCTTGAGGTACCAGGCACAGCTCATGAACGCTGCAGTGGTGGGGCAGATGGAGCATCCCACAGGAGTGCAGGGCCTGCACTGTGTGCTCAGCAAAGAACCTGGAAGTGGACCGGAAGTAGCTCTGGTCCACTTCCAGGTTCTCCGCCAAGCACGCAGGGGGCCCCCTTGCCCCCCCCCCCAACTTGGCAGCTGGCCGCAGGGGGACCCTGGGTGCCCCCCCAACCCAGGAGGCACCAGTTCCTGAGCCAGGGAGATGCGGGGGGGGCCCCGTGTGCTCCCTGGCAGACCTGGAAGTGGATTGGAAGTGCTTCTGGTCCACTTCCAGATCCACTGCTGAGCACACTGGGGACCACCCCGTGCTCCTGTGGGATGCGCCATCTGTCTCACCATCTCAGTATTCATGAGCTGCCTGGTACCTTGAGGTTTGTAGAAAAAACATTTAAAGCTGTGTCTAAGTCCAAATCGTCAAATCTTTCTGAATCTCTCCAAATCGATTAGGAGGTTTCCAATTCGATTCAGAGAAATTAAAGGGTCTCCTGATTTGATTTGGAGATTCGGCCACTGAATTGGGCCAAATCTCCACTGAATCGAATCAGTGACTAAAGCTTCGGACAGCCCTAGTAGAAAGTAAATCTAGCCTTTTCTTTTCATCTCTTAGGCAATGATAACACTGTTAAGGGATTTTTAGTCAGAGATCTACTTTTTTTCTAATATCAAATTGCAAACATTATTTAAATGGAAATAAGACCTGTTTGCCAAGACTGGGAAAGGAACAATAAAGCGGGGAGTTCATCTGAGGTTTGGCTCTGAACATAAATCATCTTTTATAGGTAGGTTTTATCACAAAGTTCTGACTAAATCCAAATTGACACCATCTTCGCAAACGTGGGGCTACATTTCATTTGTGTACTTTTACAACCAGTAAATTCGATAGCATAGATCATACAGTGTAGCTCCTTTCTCCAGAGCTCCCTACACCGGTTTTTGGTCCACGTAGCCTTCCTGATTCACTCCTATGTAAGGTATGCACATAAATGATTTTAGCTATCCCAGCTAATAGTGTTTCACTCAATGCCTTTTTCTGGCTTGATGGAACTTCATTCAAGGGATACTATTGGGCAAGCTATGGCAGGATTTTGAGGCATCATCCAGGTGATACCAAAAGCCTGTTGGTCACAGAAAGAAAATGGAGAATGACTGATAAGTTAAATAGAGATTAGAGGGAGAAATTCCCCTCCATTACCAGGCTTCACTCCTTTCCTGGCTGGCAGATGATGTTGCAACTCACTATTCAGGGGAACTTGAAGCAAGAAGAGTTAGTTTCTGGAGTGTCCAGTTTTTCTTAATGAGTGGGGCATCAAGAGCACTTAAAGGCATAAATAGACTTCCACTCGTGTCCTTTGTCTTTACTGTAAATGAAGATTTGTGCTCCAGCTGGTTCCAAAGGAAAGAACTTACTCTAGTAAAAATCAGTGATTGCTATAGCATAAAATTGCTATAAAGTGTGTGGGTGCATGTATACATTTTACATTATAATTGTAATGCTAACGCAAATGCAGCACTAACACAAACCTCTAATTGGTTGCTGTTAGTTCAATTGAGGTCATAAAGGATGGATTGTGGAATGAGCTTCTCTTTGGAATCTACTGCACACGTCATGAATGACATGTCTACTAAATGTAACATCATACATTGCTCATGAGGATGGGAAGCCTGATTTCATTTAGAAATGCAGTTGTATATCATTTTGTAAGAGTTACTAGAACATTTATTGAAAAAGCATGCCATGAAGTTGTGCTATTAAGCTCATATTTAAGCTGCTAAATAAAGATCTTTGTTTCAAAATTGTAGAGCATTCACCGACTTCATTGTGAACTGTATGTCATGTACTTGGGTTCTTAAATATATGCCCAAATGTAGCCATCTACAGTGAAATTTTTAAGAGCACTTAGATGACTTAAGCACCTGTGTCCCATTACTCTCACTGCATCTTAGGCAATTCAGAAAATGTTATACCGATTCAAAATAAATAAAAATAAAGACTTAGCTTAAATCTCCATTTCTCCCTCTTGTGCTGGAGCCTACTGTAAACTCGTTTTATAAAATGTCTAAAAGAATATGCATTACTGTAAGGGTTTTTTTGTTCTGGTTCCATCTGTTTTTTTAATTCAGCTGAGGCAGCAGAAGGGACCCCTACTTGTCAGACAAGTTAACCATTCTGGGAAACTTTCTATAGTTAGCATATAACTATTTAAACTTCTATACATTGAGTTGAAATTGTGGTATTTTCTTTCACATTCTGTAGTTTTTTAAATATTTTTGTGGAAGCCTATGTCATTTTAATAATGCCTGTTAGTAACTACATATTACTTATGCTAATCTGTATCCCTTTAATATGATTCAACATGTTCTTCAACAAGTAAAAATTAAGGGAAAGTCATTTTACATCTTGAACTAGTGAATATGAATGCGTAAGTACAGTGGCTCTTTCTAGTTGTTTGGTCCTATTGCATAGTGGACATCTAGGAAAACATATTATCCAACTTATTATTAATTATCCTATAATTATTGTTTTGGGTTTTTGTTTTCTAGAATAAAAAATGGATCTATTAAAAATTCTTAACTTCTTCAGATTTAAGTAAATTAAAAACCTCATTTGATCTGGAACTTTTCATTATGGATAAATTTGTTGTTGATTTCTTTGACTGTTCAGTTCTCACTTGCATTTGGAAAGTTAATATAATTCTTATATTCAATTTCTTCTGTAAATGTTGTCTTCTGGCCTTTCTCTTAGACAGGCTGCAACACTGCAGCATTTCTTTTGTTACAAGATTCAGCACTCTTTTTAGCGGTGAAACAAAAGTGGTTTTATTTTAATATGTACCAACAAGGTTTTCAACAGTTGAGACTTGTTAGATTCATAGATGCTAGGGTTAGAAGGGACCACAAGGTATCATTGAATCCAACCACCTGCCCATGGCAGGAAAAAGTGCTGGGGTCATGTGACCCCAGCCAGGGGCTTGTCCAGTCTCTTCTTAAAGACCCCCAAGCTAGGGGAGAGCACCACCTTTCTTGGAAGCCCGTTCCAGATTCTGGCAACCATTACCCTGAAGAAGTTCTTTCTGATGTCCAACCTAAATCTACTCTCTTATCAGCTTGTGGCCATTGTACCTGGCTATTCCAAGGGGTACACTGGTAAACAGAGCGTCTCCTATTCCCTGCTCCCCCTCCACCCCCCAAAGTGAATTTGTATACTGCCACAAGATTCCCCTTCAGTATTCTCTTGCGGAGGCTGAAAAGGTCCAGGTCCCTTAGCCTTTCCTCGTAGGGCCTTCCCTGCAGGCCTCTAACCATACGAGTGGCCCTCCTTTGAACCCTCTTAAGGTTGTCAACATCACTCTTGAATTGCGGTGCCCAGAACTGGATGCAGTACTCCAGCTGTGGCCTGACCAGTACCACATAGAGGGGAAGCATCACCTCCCTGGACCTGTTTGTGATGCACCTACTAATACATGACAAAGTGCAGTTAGCTCTGCTAATTATTTCATCACATTGACGACTCATATTCATCTTTGAGTCGACAATGGGTCTGAGATCTCTTTCTGCCACTGTGCTGCTGAGAAGGTCATCCTCCAGCCTATAGGTGTGCTGGTGATTCCCTCTCCCTAGGTGCAGCATCTTGTACTTGTACTTGTCCTTGTCCAACGGCATACTATTGTTCTCTGCCCACTTCTCTAACCTGTCCAGGTCTGCCTGGATTCAGTTTCTTCCCATCAGTGTGTTTACTTCACCCCATAGTTTGGTGTCATCTGCAAACTTGAACGGAGTGCTTTCCACGCCTTCATCCAGGCCGCCGATGAAGACATTGAACAGCACCGGCCCAAGGACTGAGCCTTGGGGGACCCCACTGCTCAGCTCTGTCCAGGTTGATACTGACCCATCCACCACCACTCTCTGGATACGACCCTTAAGCCAATTTGCCACCCGCATGACTGTGTAATTGTCTATGGCACAGCCGTTCAATTTGTTTATGAGAATAGGGTGGGATACCGTGTCAAAGGCCTTCTTAAAGTCCAAGTAGATGACGTCTACCTCGACTCCTGCATCTAAGCATTTAGTGACCTGGTCATAGAAAGAAACAAGGTTAGTCAGGCAAGATCTACCTGCTATGAACTCATGCTGGTTGCCCTTCAGCATTATATTACCCGCTAGACTCCTACAAATGTGATCCTTGATAATTTTTTCAAGGGTTTTCCCAAGGATAGAGGTGAGACTAATTGGTATATAGTTACCCAGATCCTCCTTCCTCCCCTTCTTGAAAATAGGGACCACACTGGCCCTTTTCCAGTCCTCTGGGACCTCACCTGAGCACCACAAGTGCTCAAACAGTCGTGCTAGTGGCTCTGTTACTTGAGAAATTCTGACTATAACCACTCAACTTTTATCACCTGCACTTTGTTTTCTGTTACAGATTTACTGGTTCAAAGATGGGAAGCAAATCTCTAAGAGAAGTGATCACTACAGAATTCAAAGAGAACCTGATGGGACCTGCTCTCTCCACACTGTCGCCTCCACCCTGGATGATGATGGGAATTACACTGTCATGGCTGCCAACCCACAGGTAAATGGTTTCAGCTGTAAAACAAGCTTGCCTTTGCACACAGTTTTTTTAAGAACCAGCTCATCTGTCAGTTATGCTACATAATTAAAGATGAACTCAAAGGATGAAAAACTGAAACTTCAGTAGGGTGGGACCACTCTATCTCCAAACTTAGGAAAAAATGCTGTTAAATGGATACAGTATCTGTGTTTATTTTTCATTTGTCATTTCTTTGCTTTTAGCTGGCACCATCTCCATGTGTTCACTAAGGGTGCATTGTGTTGATATTGTACAGGGCAAGATAGGCCTGGTTCCCAACATAAATAACCCAGTACATCTGAGCTCTTGGTGATACTTCCGCTGATACCGCTTCTTGACATAGTCTGACTGATAGTAATGGGACTATGAAAGCCTGCAGTACTGTTCAACATAAGTAACAGTTTTTTAATCAGGGCTAAAAATAACATTAAAGCCAAAACATCATTTCATAAAAACAAACCATTATATTGCAGGTCAATAACTGGGAAGCATGATGTGTAGAAAAAGATCTTGTGGTATTCACTATATGTTTTTCCGAAACAGATAACATATTATTGGCTTGTGGGAAGGTTTGTTCTTTATATATGCAGTAGCTAATAGGCAGGAGGTATGGTATATAATAGAAACCTATTGCAGTAACACAGTGGACATTCTGCTTACAGAGTAACAAACTATGCACACTGGAAGTCAATCCACTTTTCCTACTGAAAACTAAAGGAAATGCTTGTATAATTCTGTTCATGACATCCCATGAAGAAATAACTTAGTGAAATAATGGATTATGTTCTGTAGCACAAAAACCTTGCCAAGACCAGAATCACAAATAGGCTTGTGCTACAAAATAACAAATTCTATCATTAAGACATAACTTAATCCAAACAGGAGTGTTGTGCTCTGTTATGCATGTTGCTAGGCTACTTAGCATAACTCTTCCATTTTTGCATTGCTCTTTAGCTGTCATACCTCCTCATGTTGCAATATATATCCAAATGGTAGTTCTAAACTTGATCTTGATACTTCAAATCATATTGGATAAAACTAGAAAATATAAATGTTATTTTCACCTTTTATAAATAGTACATTGTCCAAATAATTCAAGGCCTTGAATAATCTTTGTAAGTTGGAAACATCTTTCATAGAATAAGCATTGTACTATAACTACCATATTTACCCATCTATAAGATGGAATTTTTTCCACAGTCAGCATGGGGGGGAAAGCATCTCATCTTATATTTGCATACAGGAAAACCTCCTCATTAATACATTGTCTGTCATTAAACTGCTGCCAAAAGTCATATGTGCTCAGTAATAGAAACCAACTATCAAGCTGATTGAACGGAGCCTACACTGAGAATGCCTGTAAAATACATGGCCCATATTGGGGAAATATACTGTTGAGATCTTACCACAAGGTTAGGTTAGTGAAGCCCACCTGAATAAGCTATGGTGCCCATTGCACTCAGTTCCCCTCAGCACCCACTCTTCATGGTGAACCACTACATCAAATACATTTTGACTTCCTTTTTTACTGTCACAGTTGAGCAGTGCCATTCTTTCCCATATCCAATGATTCCTGTTTCTTCATCAGTCTTAACTATCTGGCAAACAACATCAAATGTCTGTGTAGATGAGAAGCTCTGTCACCCCTTCTCTCTGCCCATCGCATGTCATTGGTGTGGCCTTGCCCTCCATAAGAGGGCAGGACCAGACAGCCCCATGCCTCATCTGCATATATATTTTTGAAGGGTCCCAAGGCTCATGACAAGAACACCCAGTGCCAGTCACAAGTAGGGGGTTAATTAACGCATTGATCCTTTGTGGTGGGTATCTGGAGTACACACACATACTGAGCAGTGCTGGGCTTTCGGGTCACCATGCCTTAAAACAATGTTGACTATGCTGGGGCCCAGCATGTGTGATAAATCATTAGCCTTTTGGTTTTGCACTAATATCATGAACAGTATGTGCTGCGTATAAGTAGGTACAAATGTGCTGCTTAAAAGTGTGTTTATGGAGTATCTCTGCTGAAACTTTCCAAAGTTTACTTCTCCAAAAAAAAAGGTAACATGCATCAATTCTGGATGAGCTAAGCTTGTAGGTGCCAACATTAATTTGCACCAGGACCTTCTCCCAGCCCCTGTTTTCCCTGCTGTAGCAGTGGGAAGGGAATGAATTCAAGACAAACTTCTGATAATTAGCTTCTATACCTGGAAAATTATAATAAATTGATCATTTTTCCATATATAGAATCTAATTTTGGGGAGATAGTCTCTTAAATTCAGGGTTGTCTTCGATTTGAATGAATATGGAACTGTTTCAATAATAAATAGTGCCAATCCATAACACGTTTGTTTGGAATAGAAAACACACTATTGCCATATATAGAAGGTTGGTCTTGATATGTCTTGGCTTTAGTGTTTGGGACTTGATCTAAAACCCATTGAACTAAATGGAAAAATTCCCATGGACTGAGGCTCACATGGCTTTTTTTGTTTGTTTGTTTGTTTGTTTGGAATCAATCCCTAGATTAGATTTATAAATTGATATATTACTGACTTTTTTAACATCTATCTATTTTGCTATTAGCAAGAGACCATTTGATAACAGAGAAATGATCTGTTCTATCTCCATGGCAATCAAATTACATTTACTAGTGCTAATTTTTTAATAAAGTGAATAGTTTCTGCTTTATTACCTCTTCTGGGAGTTGAGAAAATGGCTATGTGAACTGATGAGAAAATGCTATGCTTGTACTTTCTTTCTTTTGGACAAGAACCAGAAGCATCCTCCTCTGGATCTCCTGGATGCAAACTTGGAAATATATTTTATTACACAACACAGAAAAGCATTTGAACAGTTCACCCTGCCCTTTATATTCCTCTTTTCCAGTATAATTCCCAAGTAAACATAATGATTAGCTTATTTCTACTATGCATTTAACAGCACAGCTGAGGCAAAGAACAGCAGTGAATTAATGTGCTAGCCTTTTCACACCAAAAAACCTGGATTCCAATCCTGTTAAGTCATCAAGTGGAAATGAGTTTGGCTTGTTCTCCTAAATGCTAATGGAAGTCTGTCCATATCTTGAAGCTACCACTAACTTAGGCAAAATTGCCAGCTCCTCAATAGGAATAGAATATTACCTGAGGTAATAACAACTGATGCTTTAAAATGAGAATCTTAAATCAGAATTCTGGTAGATGGGCAAAATTGTACTAGTACAGGTAAAACAATGTTGCCAGTGCTCTTAGCAGCTTCTTTCATGAGCGTCAAATTCATTGAAAAATAAAAGCAATGAAGCAAATCCCCAGCTGAAATAAATGGATTTTGTTCACTGAAGTAAAGGAGCTTTGCCAGTTTTTTACCAGCTCAGGATGAGAACCAATACTGCGAAATTTACACATGGAAAGGGACTTCCCAGCTGGTCTTTGGAGGGAAGAAGGGAAGTATTCAGTCTTTACACATTAGAGACAGTAGTTACTATTGTGTCAGCATTCATAATATAGACCCTAGGTATTTGGATTGTATAGAAATTTGGGTTCACAGTAAAACCTAGCATATAACATCTTAACCCAGAAGCAGCCTTTGGTGAACTCTTTAATAATTTGACAGTGCATGTTTTATCCTTTCCAATTCTGCTTTACAAACATTGGCGACTAACCTCCTACTAATACCAGCAAGTCTGAGTATACACAGGTATGTATCCTTATCTTCTCCCTTCTAGTTTTTTGCTTTCCTCCTTTATCTTTTCTCTCGCTTTCATGTCTTTGTAACGCCCTCTGCCCAGGCCGCCTTCTACTACTCCCTGTCAGTTCTTAGTTCAGCTTGGTCTTTCTTCGCAAGATCATGCCTTACTCTTTCTTCCTCTCCTAGTTTCATCAGTTGTCCAGTTTCTTTTTCTTACTACTGGTGCCTTTCATTCTAGATCCTTTCTAGTCCTTCACATTGCCCTTTCTGGATGCATTCTTGCATCTAAAGTCAGTAAATTTAGTTTGAAACAAGTTAATGCATCACCTTCCAGCTAATGGTTAATGTATAAAGGTGCCTAAAATAGGGGTTTACAGGTTCCAGATGTTCTTAATGATCTATAACTCAAAAGGTTTTCACATAAGAAATAGTGTGCAGGCCATGGGCAGTAAGTTATTTTAACACTAGTATTTGTCTTGTGACCTAAATGGGTCAGGGGATTGGTAACAGGATACAGAGACTTTCAGCTCTACATCTCCAGTTATGATTATTGCCAAAATATGCAGTAACTAGAAGTTCATTGCCCTTTGAAAGTTATTTGTGACCTGTATGAAATTTTGTTAGTGAACTCAGGCCAGTTCCTAATGAATGGCTGCCCACATTACATCATATTTAGTAACTCTGATGCCTATATTAGAAGAGACATGACTGTGAATACCAAAGTTTAGGACTGAGGTATACTAGATGATGGCACTACTGCTGCTCACATGGTAGTTTTTAATAGATAAAGATAATGTCAGTCTCTAGGGTTGTTCAACCTACATTAACATGTGCATCATCTTCAACCCGGCTTCCTACGTTAGGATCATCCAAAGTAGCATGGATGCTTCACAATTACCTAACGTATAACACATTTCAAAATTATTTTCATCAGTTTTATGTATAAAACTTTAAAAAGAACACTTCAAATTGCAGTATAAACTCCTTTCCCTCTAAGTAATGGCTTGTTGAAGGAAATAGTTATTTTCACCAGAAATGTTTCCTTCATTTTTTAAAAGAATATTTAGTTAAATTGAACAAACATTTTCAATTTGTTTTGATTTGAATCTACTGCTTGGCTGATTTATTTTAGTTCTGCTTTTCTCCTTTTTTACCATTTTCCCGTTTGAAAATAGTAAGGAAAAAAGAGGAATAGAAGGGAGAGGAACTGAACTCTTACCGGAATTGAAAACTCTTGACTTGTTTTGTTTGAAAGAATCCATGGGAAAAAATAACTAGGCAAAAATGTTCCATTTTGTTCATGGAAAATACCAGGTTTTTAGGCACACTTAGGTTAGACCCAAAAGTGTAAATATTTCAGAATTAAAACAGGGAAGATGACTTTAAGAAATAGTATATCCTTCACTGTGCATGAAGACAGATGATCTCAATACAATTTAACAGCACCAGCAATGTTTTGCATTTGTACCAGGGGCAGAAACCAGATCCTATTCATAAATATAGCCAAATTTTTGGAGATACAAAGCTCAAAGGGCCACTATGATAATCTACATAATTTTGATTCACTGAGGAGAGGTTTGTAATCTAGCAGTCTCTGATCCATACTTTGTGGTTCAGATCCATCTAAGCAATTTACTTCTCCAAAATAGATTTGTTTTGCAGCTTCAAGTTGTATACCTGCTGACTTCTGACTATACCTCTCTACGGCCTTGTTCTGACTATACCTCACTGCAGCTCTAAAGATAGGAACTTGCTTCTTGTTTAGATTAAACCGATTTCTATTGAAAGTAGGTTTTGCTGAGTAGTTCAGGCACTTAAGAAAACAAAACAAGCCTTTGAGACTTGGAGTCATAGAGAACCCCCTACTTAGTCTGACCCCCTGCTTGAGGCAGGATCATCCCTAGCCAAACCATCCTATACAAATCCATTGTCTAACCTCTTAGCAAATTCCACAGTCAACCCTGACACAGCACAAGTATAATGCCCTAATCTGCCATAGGTAAAGCAGAGGGACCATGGTAGCCAACATCCTACTGCTGAAAGAGTTGTTAAAATATCCTCAATAAATCCCAGGAAGAGGACAGTGGCCCCCCACTACAGAGGAAGGCAAAAATCACCACAGTCCATACCAGTCTGACCATAGGGTAACATTTCTTCTGGACCCAAATATTGGCATCAGCCTGACCCTGAACAGAGAGGCAAGACGCTCTAGCCAGAAACCTATGGGTTTGACTCCCAGCAGGAGGATTGGCACATCCCAGGCAGAGTCCCTAGCCTTCGCTGCAGTCAATACCCAATGCCTCTGCAGAAGGCTTATAAAAAAAACCCTGACACATGTAGCAGGTCAGGGCAGGGAAATCCCCTCCTAGCCCCATGTGGCAACCAGCAAAGACCAGAAGTGTGAGAAATACCTATAGTAGAAATTAGGCATAACTACACATAGATCATCCCTGATCAGTGGCTGTCCAATCTCTTTTTGAACACCTCCAGTGATGGAGAGTCCCTTGACAATTTCCCTTAGCAGTCTATTCTACTGCCTCACTGTTCTAACAGTGAAGAAGTTTTTTCCTGATATCCAGTCTAAACCTGCTTCACTATAACTTCAAGCCATTTGGTCTACATCCTCCCTGTCTCCTCTCTGCAGCAAGAAAAAAGGTGTTTTCCCACTTCTTTATGATAGCCCTTCAAGTATCTGAAGACTGCTGTCATGTCCCCTCTTAAGTGCCTTTTCTGAAAACTGAACATGCCAATTTATTTCAACTTCTCCTTGTAAGACTTGTCTTCCAAGACCTTTATCATTTTTGCCACCTACATCTGGACCCTCTCTATCTTTTCCACATCGTTATTCAAATGAGTTAAAAGTTTCAGAATGACTCAAACTTCCAAAGTAACTTGTTACTAGCAAACTAGAATTACTAGTTTTAGAATTACTAGTATTTTGCAAACAGGACCTTGTAATGTTTTCATGGAGACCTGGTCGTAACCAAAGTTGCTTCACTATGTTTAAAATTGGATTGGAAACTTAAAATATAAGGAAAACATTGTTGGCAGGCAATACCTTGACTAATGTTACTGGGAATTGACTTTTTGTGGAAGAAAAGATTGCATGAGATGGAGAATGAAAAAGATTGGCAAGAGCAAGGGAATTTCAAGCTCCGGACATTAAATTAATGTTTGTTTAGTGTTTTGGAAAAATCTATTGCATTAGAATTGTTAATTTTAATCATATAATATCTTTATTATTGTCTCCCAATGTTTGTAACAGGGCAGAATAAGCTGTACTGGAAGGCTGATGGTCCAAGCTGTCAATCAAAGAGGCCGCAGTCCTCGGACACCTCCTGGACAGCCTCATGTCAGAAGGTACTATATAAGTGTATTACTGCAGCTGCTGTACATATTTGGTATAAGGGGGCTGGCAGGGTTAAAAAGATTGGGAGGAAAGCGTAAGTCCTAAAGCAGAAAGAAACCCCATCTTCTCGTGTCAGAAACTCTCTATGATCATGGGACCATCAGATGAACAAAAGACAAACTACTCAACTGCACTGCCTTTGGCCATGAATGAGCCTTACCTTTGTGTAGAGAAATACACCCTTTTCCCAGCACAAAAAGTGAGGTTGTGGCAGAAAAATAAATATTGATTCTGCTACAATCTGTTAGCTCTTTTCAGCAGCAACTTTGCCAGAGAGCAATGTTTTGTAGCACCACATGTAACATCTGTTCAGTCTCACACAGCAATGTGAATCCCAAGGTTCCTCAGCATCCTGCAGTCCTCATCTCTCCTTTTCCCCTGCCAAAGGGCGGCAGGGGAGAGAGGAAAGGAGGCAGAGAGAATGGCTGGGTCTCTGATAGCCATCCCAGTTGTGAGCAGTCACAGGGCCCTGCATGGACCCTGCTGTCATGGCTCCTTAAACAGCCTCTGCTTTCTCTGGGAATTTTCTCACCCTAATCTTCACCCCCACCCTTCCCATCTCCCTGCTCCATCTAGCAGCAGAACTGGTGGAGCAGGCAGGCACAGGGTTGAGAGGGTTGTCGTGATCACTGGGTTCCATAAACACAGGTATACAGTGAATGAGAACAACACTGTCTGGCTAGCTACTGATCTGAGGGACCATCTCCCAATTATCAGCTCAGTTTCCTTAGTTAAAGGAACCTAAAATTATAACTTCTCTCACTACAGGAGTAGTGTTAGAGTAAGGGTGAGGGAATTCTGAATGCAAATGCAGGAGCCCTGCCAAGAGGTGAGGCTCCAGCACTAGTACTGCTGGGTTGTGGAGGTCAAGGGGACAGTTCTCCTTGCTCCTGCCATCCCTGCAGGCCAGGGGGCTATCCTTGTCAGGTGCTGCTTTTCAGCAGATACAACCTGCTTGTCAAAGGGAAGAGGCAGGCTGTCAATTGTCAGGCTCCCCTGAGGGAGGTGGTGTCGGGGGGGAGGGACCCAAGGAGCAGCTACTGCTAGCTAGCTAGAGACCTCACCTTTGAGCTGACTTTGTAGGTCTTCAGCCAAGGGTTGGAATGCCTATATACCCCCTTTCTCACCATGTTTTCCTAGTTCTGCAGATTTCCCAGAAATTTTCAGCTCTGCAATAGATACCTGTTCATAGCCTTTGTTTTATAACCCTTATCCTCCCTTTTCTCCTTGTTTATCACATTAGAATCATAGAATCATGGAAAATTAAGGTTGTAAGAGGAGGTCATCTAGTCCAACCCCCTTCTCAAAGCAGGAGAATCCCCAGCTAGATCATCCCAGCCAAGGCTCTGTTTAGCTGGGTCTTAAAAACCTCCAAGGATGGAGCGTCCACAACCTCTCTGGGTAACCTGTTCCAGTGTTTTACTACCCTCCTAGTGAGGATGATTTTCCTAATATCTAAACTAAACTTCCCTTGCTGCAACTTGAGACCATTGCTCCTTGTTCTGTCATCTGCCACCACTAAGAACAGTCTGGCTCCATCCTCTCTGTAACCACCCTTTAGGTAGTTAAAGGCTGTTATGAAATCCCCTCTGTCTTCTCTTCTCCAAACTAAATAAGCCCAGTTCCCTCAGCTTCTCCTCATGAGTCACATGCCCCAGCTCTCTCCAATTAGTCTGTAGTGGGGGGCCCAAAACTGGACACAGTACTCCAGATGTGATCTCACCAGTACTGAATAGAGGGGAATAATGGCTTCCCTCAATCTGCTGGCAACACACCTACCAGTGCAGCCCAGCATACCATTATTCTTGCCAGTAAGTGCACACTGTGGGCTCATGCTCAGCTTACTGTCCAGTATAACCCCCATTTCCTTTTCTGCAAAGCTGCTGGCCAGCCAGTCAGTTCCCAGCCTGTACTGGTACATGGGACTGTTCCATCCTAAGTGCAGGACTTTGCACTTGTCCTTTTTGAACTTTGTGAAATTTCTTTTGTCCACTCCTCTAATTCATCTAGGTCTCTCTGAATTTTAGTCCTACCCTCCAGTGTATTTACTACTCCCCCTCAGCTTGGTGTCATCTGCAGACTTGCTGAGGGATCACTCCATCCCATCTTCCAGGTCACTGATGAAGATATTGAATAAAGCCGGACCCAGGACCGACTCCTGGGGCACTCCACTTAACACCAGCTGCCAACTAGATATTGATTACTACTCTCTGAGCCCGATAATCCAGCCAGTTTTCTATCTACTTTATAGTCCATTCATCCAACCCATACTTCCTTAATTTGCTTGCAAGAATGTTATGGGAAACTATATCAAAAATCTTGCTAAAGTGAAGGTATGTCACATCCATTGATCTCTCTGCATCCACAGAGCCAGTCATCTTATTGTAGAAGGCAATCAGGTTGGTCAGGCCTGACTTGCCTTTGGGGAATGTTAACTGTTCCTGATTACCTTCTTCACATCCAAGTGTTTAAAAATGTATTCCTTGAGGACCTGCTCCATGATTTTTCCAGGAACTGAGGTGAGGCTGCCCAGTCTGTAGTTTCCTGGATCTTCCTTTTCTTAAAGATGGGCACTATATTTGCCCTTTTCCAATCATCAGGGACTTCTCCAACCACCATGAGTTTTCATAGAAAATGACCAGCAGCTCTGCAATCACATCAGCCAACTCCCTCAGCACCTCAGGTGTGTCACCTCCAGCTCCATGGACCTGTACATGTCCAGCTTTTCTAAGTAGTTCCTAACCTGTTCTTTCATCACTGTTGGCTGCTCATTTCCTCCCCAAACCGTGCTGCCAGGGGCACTAGTCTGGGAGCTGACCTCACCTATGGAGATTTGAGATAAAAAAGGAATTGAGTAGTTTAGCTTCTTCCACATTCTCAGTCTTTTCCGCACTTCCACATTCTCTCGTTTCATCTTGTTTTACTTTCCACTACAAGGCCTTTGTAGACCTGCTGCTTACTTACTGATGCTTCCTTAAAGCACCAGCCTAATTGGGATTCAAATCTGAATGGGACTTGTAGATGCTACTGCAATGCTAAATAAGTAGTAAGACAAAAATGTCATAGAGATGGCTCCAGACCACAAGGTTTGGATCCAGGTCTGAAGTGTTTGAAAGTTTGGGGATGCTGATTGTTTTAATTTAGGCATTCGTGGAGGGAGGAACCAGAAATAAAGTATAACATCTAGCTCTGCATTTTTCTGAAGTTTGTAAGTATTCAGATGTGGGGTTTTGGTTTATGTTTATCTCTAGACTTTGGCCCATTTTATTCTTTCCCTTTCTAGTTATTAGAGTAGCTAGTTATTAGACAGAGCCAAGACCTACATAGCACAGCTCCTACATATTCAACCAACAAAAAGGCAGTGTGGTTGGGTTAACCAAATAGAGCTTCTGTCTGTGGATCATAAATGTTTCAGTTCATATTTCTGCTCTTTTGATGTTCTGCTTATTGATTACATGCATTGTAGGATCTGGGCAGCAGCTGGCAACTGCAACACATGTAATGACAGATCTAATAATAACTACAGTCAGGTGAAATAAATGGATTCAGATGTTCCCAAGAACAGTTAGCAACCCAAGTATGTATAATAAAATTACTGCAGGGAAGAATTAGGTGCATTTTATGAATCTCACCAGCTACTGAGTTGGTCAAACAGGATCATGCAAGTGTTAAAAAACACCAGCCTCAGTTAGGGCTACACAAATCATTTCCATAATATTCCAGGTTATGGAACAATGGCAGGAGCCAAACTTGTCTAAACGTAAACCCTTCATGCAGCATTCTGTTGCAACATTGCTATGGTACAGCCACTGAGCATATTTTGTGAAGTGGAGGAACTATACCTTGCACATTCACCAATTCTTCAGGAAGTCAGCATTCAATACCCCCATTTTAATGGAACTGGCAGTTTTGCAACTATAAAACTCTTGTTGATTTGTGACAGCAAGAGCTGCCTTTGGGAATCCTGGTGTAGTTCTGCAAAGTTACTAGTTGTTAAACAAGACAATTTAAGAGCCTTTAGGGGTGGGACTTTAACAAGTTTGAAGGAGAGAAGGAAGAGGGGAAAACAAAGATAAGAGGGAAATAAAATAGAAAAAAGATTCAACAAAAAATAACTAGACAACTGATAGTTCTGCATCTCCCTGCAAAGTAGAGGGTGGGCATTCTGTAGTTTGCTAAGGTACACAGTGGTCTATCTAGCTCTGCTGCTCAAGAGAATCCTGTTTATTTGCTTTTTGAGCCTGTTCAAATTGAAATGAAAGTTGTGCTAACAGCTGACACCTTATCTATTTTCTAGCTGCTGTCAGCACCCTAGCAATCACATAAAGTACTGAATGTGCACATGATAGAGTAATAGTACAACATAGAGGAGACTTACAATTACATTAGCATTTTAATTGAAATGAGTATTTTCCTTAGTCCTCTTCTTCCCTTTATAATCACTTGTTTTGAAGTCCTCACCCCAGTAGCATAGCTATGAGTGGGCCAGCAGGGCATGAGCCCAGGCCCTGCCTAATAGGTGGTGCCAGAATGAAGGCAAGGGGGGTGACTACCCCCTCCCTCCTGGCCCTGCACTCTTTACCTTCCCTGCCACCGCTCCAGCAGCCAGGGCACAGGAGCAGCCATTGGGTTAGACTGACAGAAACCTCACTTCCAGGGAAAGCTGCTGCTGTGGAGGGGGGCAGTGGGGGGGTGGGGAATGCCAGTGTGCCCAAGATAACCCTTTTTTATCCTTTTTCACTACTGAGTTTTGACTTTTAAAGCACCACTCTGCATTAATACCACTACATTCCTGTGGTATTAATCCCTGCAGGAGCAGGTTAGCCTGGGTGTGCAAAATCTTGACAGTTATGACTCCACCTCCCCTCTGCTGTGGTTGCCCATTAAAAGCTCAATCCTGCTGAGAGCTAGGCAAATCCTATAAGTGTCTGTACTTCCATATCTCCCACTGAACTTGATGAGATCTCAGAACGTGCAACACCCTCTTAAGAGACAGGTTCCTTATCACCTCACTAACATGCAGCTCTTCCTGCTTACTGGGAGTTTGCTTTATGAATTTTGCTAATTGATGGTTTTTCTTTCCCACTAAGGCATTTTCTCATGTACTTAGGTTTGGAGAAGTTGGGGGGGGGAACGGGGACTTGCTCAAGGCAACAGAAACATCAGTGCACTTCATATTTTATTAGCCTAGTGCACTTCATACTTTGTTTCATTGCTGTTAGACATTTTAACGTATTTTAAATTTCTCTTAGTGTGATCGTGGCAAAGAAACAGGTTTTTTTGTTTTTGTTATCTTTACTAGTCCACTCCAGCTTAATATAAAGCATGCCTGGCTTTCGTTTTTAATAATTTTTTTTACACTTTTAAGAGACTGTTAGCTTGTTCTGCCATTTCTTTCTTAAAATGAAAGTGGGGAAGGGCACCTTAGAGACTTAACTCATTCAGAAAGACATGATTTATTTTTAAGCAACAGCCTACTTTGTCAGATGCAATGGGTGAATCTGCTTTCTGCCTGACTTCAGACTAACATGACTAAGTATATCTTTCTCTTTAAAGCAATTTCCTAAAATTCATACTTCATAGTTACTTCATAGCTACTTCATAGAAAACAGTTGAGCTAGAGCAGGGGTCAGCAACATTTTTGGGCCAAGTGCCAAAAACACCCACAGCTTCAACTTGTAAGATGTTAGTGTGCCAGGAGCAGATGACAAGGGAGCCATGAGGGGCCTGATCCTTGTTGTTGCCATGTAGCCCCAGCCCCTTCCCCACCATCCACCCAGAGCACACATGCGAAGCAAAATGCCTTCGAGTGCCATACTCTGGCACCTGGGCCAGGGGTTGCCTACCCCTGCGCTAGAGTTTCAGAGGCACTTTGCACAGCAGCATCTCACACCTGGGCTAAATACAGGCAGTCAAAAAGCCCAAGGCATCTACGCTGCAGAGATTAAACTGCAAAACAACTGGAGACATTCACTTCCAATTCAGGAAATGCAGCCACATGCCTGCAATGGCTCAGGCCAGAAGCTGGGGGGGGGGGCGGGCGCTACAGCACAGCTCTCTGGCATGTAGCCAGCATAGGCTGTATGTTTGCTTCCTCCTCCTGCTGCCCCTGAGGCCTCTGGGATTTGCAGTCCAGAAATCGCAAATCACAGAAGCAGGAGCAGGATTCTGCAGGGTTGCTCATCACTTCCTCTTCCTGATTCCAAGTGCCTCTGGCATTTGTAGTCCACAGTCGCAGCCAGCAGTAAGTTTTTGGCATTGCAGGACAGCTCCGTACTTGGGGGAAGGGACATTTAAACCCCTCCCCCCCAGTGCCCTGGCCCCAGATCCCAGCCAGGGTTTCCTGGGAGTGGGTCTTTCCCTGCCTCCCCCCAACCCCACACACAACCCTTCTCTGCTGGAGCAGACAGCCCAGCCCAGCCCAGCCCAGCCCAGGGCTGGAATGCATGCTGGGATGCTGGAGGACTGAGAGTTGACTTGAACCAGGAAGAAGTCTGGGACAGAAGTTCCATAAACCAGTTTGACCCAAATCAGTCAAGTCTGATGCTACATTCAGCCAGGGTTGTCTTAAATCAGTTTTAGTCATTTTGAAAACGGTTTATGTGGACTGAGCTTCTGTTCTGTTACAGGTTTAAACTAGTTTCTGCTCACTTAAATTAGTTTATGTGTAACTTCTGTCCCTAACCCTAGGTATCAGTGGAATCCTCAGTTTTGATTTAGAAAACCCATGTTGCCCAAGCAATGCCTGGGTGGAACTGGACGCATATACACATGCAGCAAGGCTGCTCTGACATGCTGTAATTACAGCGTGTTAGAACAGACTCAGTTAGTCGAGTCTGCTGGGGCATGGCAATTACCAGACTGCAACATCATGTGCATCAGCATCCCCGCACTGAAAAATGGTGGTGGGGGAGCTTTAACTAAAGCTTGTTTTAGTGAGCTTTAGTTAAAGCACCCCTGCTGCCATTTTTCAGCACACAGACGCTGATACACTAATGCTCCAGGCGTAATGCCCTCACACCCCACTCCCAGGGCACATCTATAAAACCCAGAGAGGGGGAGCCTCAGAAACCAGGCAAGTAGAGAGCCAGGAGATAAATGCAGAGGAAAGAGAAAGAAGTAGCATAGGCACCTCCTATGGCCAGTAATAGGCATCACCATCGCGCGCTCTCACAGAAAAAGCCAGGCAAATGTTGCGGGCTGAATCTGTCTTCAATTACATCTGCGCAACCCTGCATTGCAACAGTGTGTTACTGTGGGCAGAGTTTGGCCCTAGAATTGAATTCACTGGCATTCTTTGGGGTTAAGTGAAATAAGATTTGAGGGCCAATTTCTGTTCTCAATTACATATTTTTTTAATTTGCTAAATAAACTAAGAATTTACAGAGATGGCAAAAAGAACATTTTATTGCTAAATAAATTATATACACCATGGAAAAAAATGTCAGCTGGAATTGAAAAGGAACCAGAAAAAAGTTTTCAATAAATTACATTAATGGGCAAGAACTGCTGATGCTGTTTGGGGTGGAGGGAACTGCAGAATAGTCATATTTTTGCATTTTATTTTCCATGAGTGTGTTTTTTTTAAACAAGAGCTCTGGCTCTTTTGTTTCTGTTGCCTCTGTGCTAAGTTCTCATTCTTGGGACACCACAATTGAGTGGGTTTGGGAATGATGATAAATATCACAAACTGAAAACGGAAAAAGTGAAAAGTAAACTTCAAGATCAGATTAACTAAATTTAAACCATAATCATCCTCTATTCATATATGACCGTTAGTAGCAAAGAACAAGTGAAAAAAGAAAGTATTTTGTGGAAACTGTATGCCCTCAACTGAGGTGGTAGCCAATTTTTAGTTGGTGCTGTTTTCTTTGAAAATAAACACATTTATTGCTGTTACTGTTATTTTACTGTTACTGTTATTTTACTGTTATTTTCTGGCATAATCAAGTAATAAAAAGGTGATCAGCTATATAAAAATCTCTACCATTGATTAAGCTACAGGATAAAAGTAAACTAAAAACTCTATAATGTATAAACAAATTGCCTTTATAGGTAAGTGACTCGTGCCAAATGAGATCACTTTCTACATCGCGTATTTGCCACAATCTAGATTAAAGTAACGTAAATGCAAAATGTCCTATTTAATCGATGCTTTGCCAAATTCTGCTCTGTTATGCTAGCACATATTTAGAGCTATTGCACTTGGGAGGGGAGCGGGGGGCAGGGAAGGGGTCACAGAAATGAATCCAGATTTATGCCAGTTTGACATCTGAATTTTGGTCTTAAGTTCTTTTCAAGCAACTTTTTTTATATATGTGATTTTTAAGACCCCGATCTCGATCAAGGGACAGCGGTGATGAAAACGAACCAATTCAGGAACGATTCTTCAGACCTCACTTCCTGCAGGCTCCTGGAGACCTGACTGTTCAAGAAGGAAAACTCTGCAGAATGGACTGCAAGGCAAGTATCAAGTCTATTTTAATTTGTGTTGAGCAGCAGGCTCCTTGGTTCAAATTTAGTTGCATCTTAGAATATTTATCCATCTAAAACTGCCTCGTAAGTGGGAATTCTAGATACGTAAAGAATTAAACCCAACAGTGAGACTTGGCCTTTGATACCAATAAGCTTGTGACTGATGACCCATTCTTCAGGGGACTAGAAAAAGAAGAATATCAATATTTCTTTCCTTTTCAATAAAATATTAATTTTCTAGCCCCTTAGAATAATCATGATGGGACTTCCTGCTAAACTCAGCATTTAAAAGTTTGCATTTGATTTGCCTTAAAGATGAAAGATATTTAGAGCCTGTAGCAGCCAAGACTTGGCCTTAGAGTCCACAAAAACCATAACTAAATATTGGTTTATTGCATGAGACCTATTTAGTTCATAGCTGTTCAACAGCCCTATGCTCATGGCATAAGCTGCCTCTCACCCAATGAACAAGTGAACCTAGCCTTATGATCAGCAACAATTAAGACCTCTGGTGAGGTGTCTCTGAGAGATTTCTCCCAGAGTAATCTGACAGGTGAGTAAAGTTGGACCATATATATCAACCAGCCAGATCCCAATCTGCTCATCCTTTGTTCTCTTCTGTGTTGGCCCAAATAGTTAGGCCCTGCTAGAGATACAGACCTGGGGAGCAGCAAGTTTGAGAAACCTGCTGAGTTTTAGCTGCTGAGCTGTTCAGTCACCAGGAGATGGGTAGTATGGTTGAACCCACCACCAGAAATTATGATAATATCCGAGTCAGAGAGAAACTGGTGAACTAGTGAAAGCATACTATTCAGGAGATATTATCCACCACATGATATATTTTGTATGTCAAATACTTCCCTAAATTACTTACTCTTTTAACTGGAAGTGTCAAACATATGAGAACATCCTACAGTTCTATGCGAGTAGAAAGAGAGTGAGCGTGCCTGTAGAGGTCAACTGAACTATTAAAAATATGGTTCTGAGTTCACTTAATAGAACAGCTAGGAGATGGAACTGCTGCTAGGCAGCCCATTTTTTTTTGGTTCGGTTTTTATTTTGTAATTCATTCTTTCTGTAGTGCTGGTCATCCTGAAGATCTTAGGCTTTACAATATTTGGACCACTGTAACTCAGGATTATTTCCATCATTCTTTCCTTAAAAACATTTCTTGTCCAGTTGGCCAGGTTTAAGTGAATAGGCTCATTCTAAGGCAGACTTCATATTAAGGCAGGTAATTTTACCTACCAGTAAAGCACTGCAAAATTACCCTTTTAACCCACCCATCTCAACATTTTCTTTCTGCCTACTGTTTTGAAGCAATTTTTGGCCCTCTGATGTAATTTGTTTACAATATTAAGAGTCAGTTCATTTCTACACTGATGCAGATGTCTGTATCAATAAAAGAAAAACATTTTTGCTCCAAAAATGGCTGCAGATTGTGAATGGGGAAGAATAAGCTTTCTATTTAAGAGAGATTGATTTTTAAAACTCATCAGTATGAACTGGACAGGTATGTCCATGTGAAAATAGGTGAGATGGAAAGCAAAATGATTGCTTCTCATCGCTAATCCTTTTAATCTATTTGATCCATCTGAAACATTACAAAGGTGAGACCAATATGTTTCCTGGTAGAGGCATTAGTGACTTTGTAGAAGACAATTAAAATTCAGATTTGCCATGTTTACTGTAGAATATAACTAGTTTCTCATAATAGCATAAACCTTCTTTCCCAGGAAGTACCTTTCCAATGATGACACATCTCTTACAACAGTCTGAGATTGCTTCAAATTATTTGGATACACAGGTACTGTAGGCAGCACTGACGATAATGAATGATGCATAACTAGAATGGAATCTGGAGTTCATATCTGTTTAGCTGACATGTTTTGTCTACAGGTTTCATTCAGAAACAAAGGCAAACTGAAAAAAGCCAGACAGGTGTCACCCAAACTTTGTTTCACAATGTAATTTTTTTTATTAGACTCAAAATAGGTTTAAACTGATCTAGCCAGTTACACCCATGAAGCAGCACAGCAATCAAATGAGCTGCATAAGGCATGACAGTACAATTCTGTATACATCAGGGTGTAGCTTGTCCATTGTACTGTGTGCTATCCCTAAACTCTCCTACACAAACAAATTCCTTCTTTCCTCTTGAAGTAAAAAGTAAGCAATACAAAACAGAGAAACACTAAGGCTCCTTCCCATTGTTTTCATATTTAAGGTCAGTGGGTTACCAACTCCGGATCTAAGCTGGCAACTCAATGGAAGACCAATTCGTCCTGACAGTTCTCACAAAATGCTGGTGCGCGAGAATGGTGTGCACTCCCTGATCATAGAGCCAGTCACAGCTAGAGATGCTGGAATCTACACATGCATCGCCAGCAACAAAGCTGGTCAGAACACATTCAGCCTGGAGCTCATTGTTGCAGGTAACATCCTTGTGCTGAGACTCTCCATTGGAGGTTGTTCAAGTTGTACGTGAAAATCTGAAATGTAATGTTTTTGAACAACAGCATCTCTTGTGCCTGTGCTTGCACCCTTTCACTCTAGTGAGCTATGAGCGTTAAGGGCTGGAGCAGCCTTAACTGACAATCAGTTCCTTTTCACCACCACGGCTGCAAAATGGCATACCTGCCACACACCTGGATGAGATCAACTCTTAATCATTAGTATTAGGATGGGTTAGTTCTACTTTGCTTTAGGTTTAAATTAACCTGTTTCTCAACAATATTAAATAGTTTTAAGAGGAATTAGTAGCTAGACACATATGGTACAGTAGTGCGGAATCAAAGTCCATATGTTTCAAGAACTATCTCTGACATTACTCTGCCATGCCCATAAGACACAGATAATGCCTTTCACTGATCTGCCTGGGAGAGGGGAACAAAATGGAGCACTACTCTATGTTAATTATTCCCCAGGAAGACCCTAAAAAAAGAGAGACAGGGCTAAATATTTTGTTCTTGAGAAATGCATAGTTGATGAATGCCAGCTTCAAAACAAGCTGGTCACTAACTCAGGGCCAGGGAGAAATATCCTCCCCAACTCATCCTGTGTTCCCAGTAAGCTAAATGGTATAAAGGAGGCTGTTACTTAATCTTATATAGCATATTCAAGGCAATGCTGATTTCTATATGCCAGAATTAAATTTCTCTTGTTAAGGTAATTTGTCTGCACCTGATCCTGTTAGATTAGCAATGTATATGGAAATGAATGACACATTACACACATCCCAGTATGAAGTCACTTCATCCTGGTTGAATCCTAAAATAGTAGACAGAGACCATAAGAACTAAAGGCTCATCCTGTCAGGAGATGGATAGGCCACTGGGTTTAGGAAAGCTTTTATAGGGCACACTGAAGCAATTGCAGTGTGAGTTTTGAGTGTGGCAAATTTAGTTGAACAGAGAAAACATTTCATTTGGCTCTACTCCAAGCCACCTGTCTGCTACTCGGGTCAGAATCAGGACATAATTTACTTCCGCTGATCCAGCATCAGGTAGTGCTGTACTAACCATCACAGAAGGAATGGTCTAAAATCTTCTATTTAGCTGCGTACCTTCAGGGACAACAGTTAAACAATATCAGCACTGTAAATATTACTGACATCTCTTTTTTTTACAGCTAAGGAAGTACACAAGCCACCAGTGTTTATAGAGAAGCTACAGAACACGGGAGTGGCTGAGGGATACCCAGTGCGACTGGAGTGCCGCGTCTATGGAGTGCCACCTCCTCAGATATTTTGGAAGAAAGAGAATGAGTCACTCACCTATAACACTGACAGAGTGAGGTCAGGCCAGTTTAATATTCTGTACAATGAATCTGATTAAAAACCAAACAAACCACAACTGAAATAGCCTAATACAATCAAAGGAATATGAAGTTGGAAGAATACTTAGCATTTACAGCATCTAATAAGAATTATTACTCACAGAAACCCTATGAGGTATGTAAGTATTATTGTCTCCATTTTACAGCTGGAGAACAAGAATCACATAGGAAACGGGGGTTTAGGTTGTAGCCGTGTTGGTCTAAGGATATAGGCAGACAAGGTTCCTTGGGTGAATTTGATATCTTTTCATTCCATCCAGGAAGAGCACACACCAACTGCTGCAGCTTCCTGAGCCTGACGAAGGGTTTTTGAACCCGAAAGCTTGCTTAATAACTATTCTCCAACCATTTGGGTTGGAACATAGGAAACGTGCTTTTTAAATTCAGAGCCGAGCCAATGACTCAGCCAGGATTAAAACATATTAGTTGCTTCCGAATCCTGTGTTCAGACAACTACGTTTGCCTCCACAGTTTAAGCAAACAAAAGTGTATTGTCTTTTTTAAAGAAAAAAAAAAAGAAAACACAAAAAGGCTAGAAACCAAGTATACCATTTAGATTCCCAGAGGCCCCCTGCATTTTCACCACTGAAGCTCACTCAGCACCTAAAGGTCTGCTTCTCCTCTTATCTTTACATATTAATTTTGTTTAAATAGCTGATATTCATTTTTCACTTGGTATGTACATCTCTCTCTCACTTCGGTGGGTATTATGTGCTTATTTAGATGGGAACATCACATTATTTATAAACTTGCTTTTTAAAATTCTCCCTGTAAGGTTATGTTCCTAAACAACATTCTTTGTCCTGCAGCCACCATTCCATATGGAGTTTTAATCACCTCTTTCTCTTTTCAGTATGCACCAGGATAATCATGGCTACATCTGCCTGCTTATTCAGGGAGCTACAAAAGAAGATGCCGGTTGGTATACTGTGTCAGCTAAGAATGAGGCTGGAATAGTGTCCTGCACTGCCAGGCTGGATGTGTATAGTAAGTGATTCCTATTATTAAAAATGCAGTCAAATAAAACCTACCTCTCCCAAAACAGCAGTTCTAATGAACTTGTATACAGAAGGTTTATGTTGGTCTCTCTTTTATTTATAGTTTCTCCACAGTAATAGCGAGCCATATCAAGACAGCAAATACTCTGTTGAAGTACATTTTATCACCTTTCAAATACTTAAAGCAAAATGAGCATTTGCGATTCTTCTAGTTGCATCTGGCTTATTCACCCCAACATCCTTAGCAGTAACAGTAAATGGCATGACTGCATTAATTCTTTGGGTTCTTATTACAATGCTGTGCTAGCACTAGTTTTTAACCTTTTGTATGATTTTCCAAACTTGTCTAAAATGCACCCAAAACAAATACCAGTAGGCAAGAAATTCTGGTCTTGTGGCTTGCTGCTTAATTAGCTAATATAGTTAAATATAGCTCCTCTGTTGTGAATTGATCTTAAATCTAAATTAAATAACTGATTAGATTTCTGACCAACACCATAACTGAGTGAAATAGTTATTCATGTTATGATTTGGTTGCAATGCTGTAATTTGTTGCAAGGTAGAAAATCCAAATTAAACTCTACATAGGTTTGTCATTCTCCAGGTTGCACAGGCAATGGTGATGACCAGTTGGCTCCCACTGATATCAGTCAGGGACAACTCCAATGAAGAGGAATAGAATTATATGGGTGGGGGGTGGTGTTCGAATCTAGCCTGGTATCTTTATTCACTGAGGGGAAGGGGGGGTGATTGCAGTGATCCATCTGGAAAACTGGAGGCCGCCAAGTCCAACTGTACTTGGCCAGTAAGGAAGTCATGACAACATACAGCCCTAAGAAGAATTCAAGGGGATAGAGGAAGGGGGATGCTTGAGGGAGAGAAGTGGTGGCTAAAGGCAGAATAACAAGCTGGATGACAATTTCCAGTCTTAACCTGTGCTATGTTCTTACCACAGTAGCAGTAAGAGCAAAATACAGCTGTTATGTAAATAAGCACAAAAACAAGAAAGTAAAAAAAAGGCTTTGAGATAATATCTCTCTGCTTTTCAAGAGCAGATCACTCATTCATCTATAGGACCTTACATAAGTGCAGTATTCCTGTTACATGAACGAAACCAGCTGAATTTCTTCCTGTTCTTAAATCTGTAGCTCAGTGGCAACAACACCCTCAGACCACCAAGCCAAAGAAGGTACGTCCCTCAGCCAGTCGATATGCAGCACTTTCTGACCAAGGACTAGACATCAGGGCAGCGTTCCAGCCTGAAGCAAACCCAGTTCATCTGACATTACAGTCTGGCTTGGTAGAGAGTGATGACCTGTAAACCCGAGCTGCCGTACCCATCTTTTTTCTTTCAACGCAGAAACACTGAAAACTGTTGCCTTGATCAATGATACTTCTATGTCACTTTATGTAAGAGGCAAACACCTTCAAGTACAAGACATAAAGAACACCTTAACCATATATTTCTTATTCATTATACCAAATTAGGAAAATAAGTAGCTGATTAATAATAGAAATGTATACATTGCACAGAAAAAAAAATCACGATCACCATCAACTCCTATCTAGGTTGCTTCAACTCCTGTGAATAACCATTTTTATAAAGCCAAAATACTAAAGCAAACCAGAGTTTTTAGAAGTAAGCACACTGTTTGTCACCAAGTGCTTTCATAAGCAAGATATATTTGCTACACGATCATCGGTGGTGCAAGGCATTTCATTTGAGGCCATTAGACCGCAAACAAAAAAATAGAATGTATGGTTATCTTTTTGCAATTCTCAAATGGCAATGTATTCTGATAGCTACAGTGAATAAGTGCAATATTGTAAAAATAAAACAGGAAGGGAGAAGGAAGAGAAATTTAAGTAAATGCCTTATTTCTGCAAGCTGATTTCTGTTCTACGGTGAAAAACAACTACGTGCCTAAAATGTTATTGATTAGCATTGGCAATTCTATATAGCAAAGTCAACACCTTAGTTCTGGATTTTTTTATATCCATTTTTTTCTTTTGTGCCATCTAGCAGGAGGCTTATCTACATACTGCAAGGCTAATTTAAGCATAAATAATTTAACCTGTTCATCTCGAAGAATAAAAGCTGAGGTATAATAATGCTCCACTACAGACTATAAATCCCATCACCTAGGTGAGAGGCATGTGTGGGAGAAAGAAAAATGCCAACAGTTTAGTTTTACTTCATTAGGTTAGCAAACAGGGGCGAATAGGGCAAAAAGACTGGACCTTTCTTATGGGTTCTTTGAAAACAGTCTGCAAAATCATAAGAGCACTGCCATTCACATATCTGAAATCCTAAATTCAATTGAACACAGGAGAGTGTAAGTACTGGACATTTCTGATTGTTTAGAGCTTGTGTAGTAAGTCTGAGGATTCTAGAAGTGTATAGCAAGTGGAATATGGGTTGAGTTTGCTATATGGGTTGAAATGACAAGTATACACAATAGGGGATAGATTAGTAGATCTGAGGGAAGCAAAGAATGAAGATGGACAAAAATCCCAACACATTTTGTGCCATAATATTTTTAACAAAGCATGTGTATGTGGTGGATGGTATTATTTGTTCTCTTTCCTACTGTAGGATAACACAATAACCCTACCAAGGCTAGGGTGTGTGTACAGTAGGCAAAAATGTTAGAAGAGCTACTTTCAGAATGTAAAGCAATTCTACACCAAACTAGACTCTACCTAGTCAAACTATATTAGGCAGTTTTGATTCACAACCAGTTAATTTTAATTGAAGGGGTGGGTTGGGGTGTAAGAATTTGATTAGGCCTGATGGGGGAGAATGAGGTTTTGATGGTACGAGCGTACTTTGCTATGAAAGGAAAACACTGTATTCCTTATATGAAGCACATATATGGTATCTTTCATTATTTATAATAAAAGTGTTGAAATCTTTTATCTCAGTTCAGTTATTCAAGTCCAGTACTTAGTTTTTTTATTTTTTATTTTGTAATTGTGTACCACACCATATATATGCATTACTGCTATACATGTATTGCTTTGTACTTCTGTGTAAGTACACAAACCAAGTTTTTAGCAGTTAATAAACTTAAGCACATACGATAGTTCTATTCTATGCAGATTGGTGCCGACTATGGCCACACCCATAGGCATTGCTAATCTAAATTAATGTCATACACAGTCTGTCATATGGAAAAAATCTACCTATATTTAGGAAAATTATGTTGTATCATTTGCCAAATGTTTTGACTGTGACATGCTAATTTACCATTTGTTTAGCTTCACTAGCATTATTTTGCCACCTTTATTTGTATTTATAAAAAATGTACTATTCATATCATTTTGGATTGATGTGCTGACATGTGGGTTTAATATCAATAAATATTACACCAATAGAAAATTGTCATTTTCTGAGGTAAGATGTTCACATCTGTTTCTATATGAGGATTCACATAAAAGGTTAGAGCTTTGAGCTGTGAATAAGGACAGGTTCTTTAAAGTTTCTAAAGACAGCTGGTTTGCAGAATTTTATCTGGTCCAAGGAACAGCACTCAAGAGCCACCATTGTAAAACTAGAATTGTATTCAATTTTTTATATTTTGTGATTCATTTGCATGTACTATTGCAGCAACCTAGACCGTCTTCAATATCCAGACCCCCACTACCTAACAGAGACGAAGTCTGAATGTTTTCATGGAAGCCATGCTATGATTGACTGGTACTTGAATAGGTTGTTTTGATTATTTTTGTTCTTACAAAATAAATCATGACAGTATTGAACTCAGGGTTCTTAAAGTTAAATTCTGAACCCTTCCACCCTATGCCATCCATAAAGAGATGCAAGTTACCACTAATCAGAAAAGTATTAATCAAATCACAACTCACCCTATAAAAAAGAATAAGCCAAATTCAGTCCTAGAATAAATGGTTGCACTGCCAGCAATGCCAGTGGAGCTGCACCTGTTTACACTAGATCTGAATTTGGCATAGTAAGTATAAATCGATGACAGGTTTTGAGAGCCAGATAAAATAAAGACATCTGGAATGCGTGATTTATTCAGTAGCTTGTGTCTCTGATATAATATACACAAAAAGCAATAGACAAATAGATCCTTCTAACTAATCATCTATACATTTAGCTCCTTAGTGGGTGCATCTACACATGCCATTAATGTGAAGAAATAAACTTCGGAGCAGTCTGAGCCTGCGTAAACTACGCCCCGGTTCCAGTGTCTACACGTGCACCTGGGACAGCAGCAATTTGAACCAGGGTGGAGCAGATCCAGCCTGTTGGGGGACATGGGGTGTGGGAGGGTCAGTCCCAGGCTCCAGGTCATAGTAGAGGGGCTGATTGGGGCAGGAGGGTGCTGAAAATAAAGTTGTGTGACTAGACAGCAGGTAGGAGTCTCGACAGCAGGTAGCTGGCTGGGCTGACCAGGTGCAATTGATACCCAGTCAACACCATTGCACATGTTGACAGTGATGCTTTACTCCACAGCTAATTAGTTTACTCCATAGTAAAGTGCATGTGTAGACGTGGCCATTTGGTAGAAGAAATCTCCCTACTTTACTTTCACTTTACATATGTACATAGACATACAAAAATAGTAAATCACATATGAAACTTTAACTAAGACTCGAGGCTGTTATTTTCTGTAACTATAAACAACAATCCACTGTGCTGTTACTTAGCTACTGAGGATGTTGTTGTGGGCTTACATATACAGAGATAGAAATTTGTGTGGCACAAGCATAAAGATACATTTGTGCTGTCCAAAAATTTAGAAATGAATTAGAAGCTCATTGGATCATCAAGATTACTTTATAGAGAGATTACTTTATGAAGGGAAAAGAAATTTCTGGACAAACTACATTCAACCAAGATTTATATAACGTGACTCTGGTGTAACTGATGGCACAGACTTCTCTGCTGTCCTGTAAAGTGTCTGTAGCTAAGTATTCACTGATCTTTAAAGTGATTGGGAAACCTTATCAATTAAAGCATATTTACAAAGCAATTCAAAACTAGATACAACCACATTTTGAAATAAACTGATGGGGACCCCCATTCACAGCAGCAAAAGTGATATGGCTAAATTCACATATCCTCCATGGAACACAGTCAGTTTTTCTCAGCTTTTGGAATCTAGCTAGGACTAGCTCCAGAAACAAACAAGCAAAGTTGATTAAATTATCTTGCCTTGCATTATTTTTCCCAATAAAAGCCTTATTCTAAAATACAAAATCTGTCAACCCCTACACAAGGAGATAATCCAGACCAAAAGGCAGCAGTACCTGCAGAGCAATGATCTCAGATGCCATAAAGAGTAAGAACTAACTTGGATCCAATGACTCCAGGAAATAAATAGAAGATTGTGTTATATATGGCACTGCAGTCATTTTATAACACTGGGGAATGGCCAGACCTTACTTACTGACCTCACTTTCTAGTTCTGCAGTAGCATAACTAAGCCAGAAACAGCTGCAGAGTAAGAGAGAGATAGGAAAAAATAGAACATGGCCACTACTCAGACTGATTAGATCATTTACAGCAGAAGCCATAAAAAAAATCTCATCACACTGAATAGGTTAGATTATTGCCAGCACGTATTACAAAAAGAAAAAAGAAAAAGATAACATCACTAACCATGCTGTTAAAAGCCCTTCGGTCAACTGTTGGCCTAGAATTAGCAAAGAATGCCTCAAAGTAAAGCTACAAGGGGGACTGGTATGACCTCATTTCCATTATTCAACTGCTCTAAACACTATCTGCAGTGTTTACAAGGGAGCTGCATGTAGCATTTGTATCCTAAAAAGGTATCTCTACTCTTGACAGACAATATAGTCACTTACTCTTTTCCAGATGATTCAGGGATTTTCTTCTAGATTACTATTATAGGGGAGCCATAGTTGAAATCCACAGATTCTTAACTATGGTCCCTTTCGTATACCATTAATAAATACCTGCCACACACGATAATCAAACATTTCATTATAGAGCTCCTCAAATTAATTTGAGAAACTTTTTAAACTGATTATAGGAAATGTCATAACTTCTATAAATTCTATAGTTCTGTCTGCTACTCAGTCTCTGGTCAGGTACTAGTTTACATATTCCAGTCCGACCAGAAACATGTAATTTCTCTTATTAAGTAGAACCTTGAATGAAATTACATAACAGTAATATCTCCAATAATAAAAGGCATTTAACAACAGCTATTAAATTCTATGCAGCATACAGATATTTGTCATATTCGTGTATATAGCAAGGGCAATTCCCTGACGAACTGGAGTATGAAAAACTGTTTGCAAAATTTCATCTAAAAGAACTGGTAATGAAGGCAGGTACAGAAGGTAGATTTCTAAGTAAATACAAAATGGGTATATGTAATATTACTATTCTATTCTGTCAACTGTTTCCCTCAAATGTAATTATGCAGAGCATATAATATAGCTAAGACAAGTCTGACAGACCATGAAGTTATTTTAATGAATATCAAGGGATATACCAAGGGAACTGGACTGGCATACTCAAACAAAACAACTTCTCAGTTTAATAAGTTCAAGGGCAACAAACCTGCTTACGGACAAGCTTAGTGGGAATGGAATCACAGAATCAGAGCGAGGTAGGGCTGGAAAGGACCTCAAATGGTCTAGACCAACCCCCTGCCTAAGGCAGGCTCACCCTATCAAAACCATCCTATACAAATCTACTGCCTAACCTCTTAGCAAAATGAGTCAACCCTGACACAACATATGCCATATGCCCACATGCCATTAACACCCTTATCCGCCACAAGTAAAGCGGGGGGCTATGGCAGCCAATGTTCTACAGCTATAAAGGTTGTCAATGTATGCTCAAGAAATCCCAGGAAGAGGGCCACACTCCTCACTACAGAGGAAGACAAAAAGCCCAACAGTCAATACCAATCTGACCATGGGGTAAAATTCCTTCCTGACACCAAATATGGCAATTGCTCTGACCCTGAACAGAGGGGCAAGACTGTCTAGCCGGGAACCTCCAGGTTTATATCCCAGCAGGAGCACTGCACACCTCAGTCCCAATCCCCAGTCTTGGCTGCAGCCAACACCCGATGCCTCTGAGGAGGGCTTAAAAAAAAACCCCTGATATAGTAGGCATGCAAGAAGCAGAGGTGGGGAAGAGGGGGAGTTCCTTCCCAGCCCCATGCAGCAGCCAGCAAAGCCCAGAAGCATGAGAAATGTCCACAGCAGAGCACAGGCATAGCTACATCCATCACCAGTGGCTGTCCACCTTCCTCTTGAACACCTACAGTGATAGAGAGTCCACAATGAATCATAATACATTCACATGCTTTTTTCTGATTACTAACAGCAAACCTCTTTTCTTGCATGTGAAATAAGTGTGACAAATCGTCAATGTTTAGTCCACATTTACTTCATTATGCAACATCGTCTACAAAGCCCCTGTATCTGAGATGTTCGAGGAGGACTTGTCCCCAAGGAAGAGAAATTATTTTTAAGCAACTATGATCTTCAAAACATTTTGTCCACATACATATGAAATCAGAAACTTTTGACTGGCAATATCCAGTGGAAACATGACTGAACTTTACATGTCATTGTGTCCTGTCTGTGCGGGCTGGGTGCGACCCGAGCCCTTTTCCGTGCTGCACGTGGGCTGTGGCCAGCAGCCCGGGCACGCCGGGTCGGAGAGGGAAGGCCGTCGAGCTGGAATTAGGCACAAACGCTTAGCGGTAGTTTTAAAGATTGTTTACTTACACCGAGATGGCAGTGGTGCAGGCTGGAAAACTTGCTTGAGTTGCGGTTCCAGACACGGACAACACAGACGGTCTAATGGAGGTTGCTAGGCTCCACGGAACAGAGCTCCGGATGCTCTGGGTGAACGAGCCACCAAAATCAGAATCATAGGTACGTCTTATAAAAGTTGCGCTCGAAGACAGGAAGAGGTGGGCGATGGATCAGGTCGCCA